TTACATAGCTCCGACTCACAGTGCTTCTCCAGTTTTCAGCCTCCCAGCACTGGGATTCCAGGTGTGTGCCACTGTACCTGTTTCAGTGGCTGACTCGGCGTGGGGCCAACACAGCAAACAGTGCCAGGGATCAAGCCTGGGTTCTTGAACCTGCTAGCAGGCACTGCGACTGCTGAGCTAGCTCCCAGACCCTGCTTTAGTCTTGATATGTCCTTGATCCACCTCAAATATAATTTAGTGCATGGTGAAAAATCCTGGTGCAGTTTTGGTCTTTGGCAGGTGCAGAGCCAGTGTTTCCCACACTGTTAAGGAGGCTGAGCCTGGGCGTGACGGTGTATGCCCATAACCCCAGTGCTCAGGAGGCTGAGAGCAGGAGGAGCACTGTGAGTCAGATCTGTGCAGTGAGACCCTGCAGACCCTAACTAAATACATTAAAAAAACAAAAACAAAAACAAAACAAAACACAACAAAAGGGGGTTATCTTTCTTCCAGTGAATGTGTTTGGCATCTTTGTCAAAGAAGGTTGCTGAGTATGTCTGGAGTTGTTTCTGTATCTTCTAATCTGTTCCATTGATCTTCAGGTCTACTTTTTTGCCAGTACTATGCTGTTTTTATCACAGTATCTTTATAGAATAATTTCAAACCAGGGATTGTGATGCCCCCTGCTTTGCCTCTGTTGCCCAAAATTGCCTTTGCTATTCTAGGTCAACATTCAAACATTTGTAACCTTCTGGTCAAATGAAGTTTAGGATTGCTTCTCTAATTCTGTGCTATATGCCATTGGAATTTTGATTGAAGTTGCATTAAATCTGCATAACAGTTTTGGAAATAAGGCCATTTTCACTATATTGATTCTTCCTTCCCAGGAGTAAGGGATATATTTCCATTTTCTGTTATCTGCTTAATCTCTTTCTTGAGAGTACTGTAGTTTTCATTGTAGAAGTCTTTTATATCCTTCATTAGATTATCTGTAGGTATTTCATGTTTTTGGATGTTACATAGATAAAAGGTGTTGTTTCCCTATTTCTAAATGAGTTTGTTATTCTTGCATAGGAATGCTATTGATTTTTGAATGTTGACTTAGCTATGCTACTGAATTTGCTTATTAAATCTAGAAGTCTCTTGGAGTTTTGGGGGTCTTCTATGTAGAATATCATGTTATCTGCCAATAATGACAATTTAAGTTCCTCCTTTCCTATCATTATTCCTTTTGCTTCTTTTTCTTGTCTTATTGCACTGGCTAAAGTTTCTGAGACTATGTTGAGTAAGAATTGAGAGTAACAATTGAGACAGTGAGCATCCAGTGAAAAGAG